ACGTCAGCACAGGAATGGCATTAATGTTTAATGTCAATGTTTAATAGGGCACAGAAGGAATACAGGAATGTTACAAGAGTTTCATGTTGTGTAATAAAAAACAAAACTGTACGACTGAAGTCACATTAAAAGCCCTATTTGAACTGGACTAGTTTTCCATGAGGAGAATTCATGTTTCACAGATGGACTAATTCTATCCAAACCTGACACATCAGCTGTTTTTCACAATGCTTCGTAACTAAAGCCAAATTTCTTGTGCTGCCATTATGGAATTAGTTCTTTAAGAGCTAGTGTTTCAAGAATCAAATTTCAGTGGGTTTTATGATATATCTGGATGCAGTCACTATGTTAATAACATTTAGAAAATTAATCTTATCCAAATAGTGCTCAACACAAATATAAATATGCAAAATACGTGTTAATTCATTCTATGGCTTTTGTTTCAAAAAATGACTCTTAGGGGACGATGGAGGTGAAGTTGTAACAATCGAGTTGGAGAAGAATGCAGGCGGAGTTGGATTTAGTCTTGAGGGAGGAAAAGGCTCCATTAACGGTGACAGACCACTAACCGTCAACAGAATATTTACAGGTGAGACTACAACTGAACCTTAAAAAATTTACCTTTGCTCAGAGCGTACTTACCCTCAGGTCATCGACGATGTAAATGAGTTGGTTTCTTCGTTAGGACAGATTTGGAGAAATTTAACATTACATCACTTGCTCACCAATGGATCCTCTGCTGTGAATGGGTGCCGTCAGAATGAGTCCAAACAGTAAATAAAAACATCACAGTAATCCACACCACTCCAGTCCAACAATTAATGTCTTTTGAAGTGAAAAGCTACATTGCAACGGTTTATAAATGTTAAAATGTCTTGATGGACTTCACAGTATTTATCAGCTTTTTAGACTCTCTTTCTGATGGCACCCATTCACTGCAGAGGATCCAGTGGTGAGCAAGTGATGTAATGCTACATTTCATTACATTAAAGGGGTCATGATGCTATTTTAAAGATCATTATTTTGTGTATTTGGTATAACAGAATACGTTGACATGCTTTAATGTTCAAAAAACACATTATTTTTCAAATACTGTACATTATTGTAGGTCCTCTATGCCCCGCCTCTCTCAAACACGTAGTTTTCAACAAAGCCCCCTCCTTTGACAAGCGCAGTCTGCTCTGATTGGCCAGCTGACCCAGTGCATTGTGATTGGCCGAACACCACAAGCACGTGTCGGAAATGTAACGCCCTTACCATAATCGTGAGCTTCAGCTTTCAAAGTAAATATCAAGACAGTTAATAATGTCGTTAGTCTTACCATCAGTTCAAGCCTGAAAGGGCAACAGAGTCGCGTGACAGACACAGTGATGATGCAGTACACAAGCCGCGGTTAAGGCAGCCGACGTGCTATGATTTCTGACAGGCAGTTCACTCTCCTGTGATGTGACCCTGTTCCCCTCTCACACACACACACACACACACACATGATGCGTTACTCTGCGCTGCGCAAAACTCCGCATTTGAACAGTCAATAGCAAATACTTAAACTGATAACAAAACATACTTACAGTCGCTGATTCAGAAGCGCCAGATTGTCATAGCAAAGTCGGAATTTACCCTTTTTTTTTATTTATTTTTTAATTTTTTAGAAATAGCCTTTGTGCACAGCCAGCTTTGTACTCTTCTAGGTTAAAAAAACGTCCATAAAATGCATTGCACAAATTTGAACATCTGGGTTGTGCTGTTCTGTTGTAAATAAATCTTAACCAATGATTCCTAATTGCATCTACTTCCGGAAGGCCAAATAAAGTGCTTTTGCACTGAAACACAGCGTCTCCCTGACATGGCTGCATCAACACTACTGCTGTTCCTGAAACCACGCCTTCTTTCTTTGCATGCTAGAACGAGCCGTTTTAGGTGGTTGACTCTTAACTTTTATAAAGAATATCTCTTTGGATTTGAGACTTTAGTCTTTGCAACTTTACAGATCTTCTTTATGCACCAAGAGCTTGTAACACTCCAAAGAGAAAGGAAAACTTGAAATCGCATCATATGACCACTTTAAGAGTACTGTACTGTAAAAATGTTTTTTCTAAGTGGGAAATAAAACGATTATTGGAGTACACTTCATGAGCATATACCATTTCAGTTTTTCTACAAAAAAAAATCACATCTAATTCAATGCTACTGCTGTTTCTTGTAATTAATTGTACAATTCTGAGCAAAAAGTGTTTCTACACCAAATTAATTTCAGTGTGGCATCAAAATAACCAAAACCTTTGATAAACTAACAAATATGGTGTGGTTTTCTCATTTTGCAGAAATCTTTTTGTAAAGTTATGCAGGTGCAGATTACATGTGGGCCTGCAAATTAGAATGTAGCATGAATCATACAATATATACTGTATTTTTTTCTGGCAGGGAGTGATGCTGAGCAAAAGGGGCTGAAGTCTGGTGATGAGGTACTGCAGATACAGGACTCGTCTCTGCAGGGTCTCACACGCTTTGAGGCCTGGACACTCATTAAAGGCCTTAATGATGGGCCGTTTACACTCGTCATTAAGAGAAAAAAATGCGATTAGAGCTAAACTCCACTCAGAAGCACCCAGAAGAAAATACTGGACTTATCTCAAACTTCATTTCAAGCGTTGGGAAAATACCTCCACTTGCTAAAAAATGTACATTACAAATCAGTGTTTCTTAAAAGCAGGGTTCCCATGATTTGACCAATGCATGTATTTCATTTAAATTTTTCTTACTGCAATCAAGACTGCAGTCAAAAAGAACAATTTCTATCCAATTAAGTGCTTTAGAGTTGAGCAAGAAAAACCTATACACACTATAAACCTTTACATGACTTTTAGGTTCCCCCCTCCCCCCTCCTCCTCCTCACTTTCATGAGTTTTGCAGGCCTGGAAATCCCATTTCCCTGATATTTCCATGTTTTCCGTGACTGGGGAACCCTGTTGGGATCATTCAGTTGCCTTGATTGCTTCATTTTTCCATTAATGCATATTGACAGTATGACTTTCATATTCTATATGATGTGCATGATGTGCATCACTGCATGATGTGGTACTACATGATCAGGAAAGCTTGTTTTTCTGAGCAGAGTTTTATAGCGCTTCACTGTGCTGGTATAGTACTGTTTTACTGTCACAATCAGGGATTCATTAAAAAAAAAAGATACTTTTCAAGTCTGCCTGTTTTGATGCAATGATTTGCACAAGCCTGTAAATAGTTTCGGATATATTTCTACACCATTTCACCAAAGCAGAAACATGTCAACATGTAAAGAACATGTCATGAAGCATTTGTGGCACACAGTTTAAGAGATCAGAAATAGAATATTTAAAAAATATTTAGTCAAATGCTCCCCCTAACAGTACATTGCTCTAGTTTTTCAAAGCCAGAAATAATAAATATATTCCTTTGATGTTTTCAAAAAAATATATTATCTAACAGAATACACCTTTGACAGTTTAAAAAAAACCCGAACTACTATGCCTCTAGTATTCTGGTCTTGTTAGTTTTTTTCCCCCTTAAAAAGAAAGGCCTTAATATATTGAAACTGTGTCAAAAGAAAGATGTTTTACATGTAATTACTTGTTAAGGTTTGTAATGCTGAAATAAAGTGTGATACAAATGATAAATATGGTCATCAGTCATTTTTAATATCTGAAAACAGAATCTAAATGGAGAATCATACAATGGGTTTTACAAAGTGCAATTTCCTTTGTTTTTGCTGCTTTGAAGTATTAACAAACAGTACACACATGTCCCACAGTCAACGGCAGGTGGACATATAATAAACTGCATTGAGCAAAAACACATTTGAATTCAACATGAAATGAGAAATTACATGATTTCAATGCATATCTCTAGGTCCATCACTGCATGTTATTAAAAATTCTATACTCTAAAAATATATACTGGCTTGCTTCGCCTGTTACGAATCGCTCATACTGTTCGACTTGTCCCACCCAATCATCTGCCTCCATTCTGGTTTGTACCGCCCACTTTTCATGATCCAATCAATTCCAGGAGGATAAAATCAAGTACCAGCAAATGTTTTATTCTAAATCCATCAGTTTACAGAAATAAAATGACTTGCAAATGACACTTCATGTTGACTTCAAGAAAATAATAATCTGGAATAATCAAAAACTCTCATTTGACAGAATTGACAAAGTGTATACACTGCTTTCGGAATGTAAATGTGTGTGTATTATTAAAATATACAGAGAACTTTGCACAATACTACTGAAGTCAAGCACACACTCCTTGCAAAACGGATGTAAAATCTAGACTCCCAAAATAATCCTGAAATGCACTAGAGCATACTGCTCATTTACAGTATAAAAAAAAGAACAAAAAAGCACACATCTCAAGGCCATGAGCATGCGTTCACAGTAATTTCATTGACGGCATACAGGCATATAAACACAAACTACCTACGGGTTGAGACACATGTCAGGAGGACAATCGTGCAGCTAGACACAAACGGGCAAAAGGTAATTAAAGAGATCAAAAAGTCACGCAACACACTTGGTTCCCTCTGAGGTCCGTCATAGCAGTGATATATTAAACAGTCCCTTTGTCCATGTGCAATTACGATGGATTACAAGCAGAGATAGAAAGCCAAAAAAATGGGATTAATTTCTACTATGTCTATGGAAAAAAAAATCATAATTTCTATATTTTTGGAATGTTTTAAAAGGGTCGGGCAAAACTGTCAATTTAAAAAGGCACTCCCTTTTAATTCAAGCATTTATATTTAAATTGAATTGGCCACGCCCCACAGGATGCAAAATTGGAATAGAATTTGAAATGAGATGTTCAACAATCAATCAACAGAGGAACTCATTAGTCAAACACAATCATTTAGACTTTGGGGGAAATTAGAGCATTTTGGGAAATTAAAGGGAGAGTTCAACTTCACACCAAACCTGTATGAGTCTGAACTAAATAGAGTCTGGTAGCCATTGACTTCCATTGTATTTTTTTTTTTTCATACTACGGAAGTCAATGGCTACCAGCAATAATTTGGTTACCCACATTCCTCTAAATATATTTTGTCTTCAAGTATAAATACAGATTTGGAACAACTCGAGGGCGAGTTGACAGAATTGTTCGGTAAACTATCCCTTTTAACTTTCTTCCATGATTCATCAAATGATTAACTCATTGAGTTAATTTATTAAGTATATAACATACTATATTTAATATTAATTTTAAATATTTCAGATGATTTCTTTAAATTTCATTCAGTCACTTGTTTAATTCAATTCAGTAAATTCTAATTCAAACTCCGCATCCTGTTCTCTACCTCAATTCAAACTCGGGAACTAAAATAAAATTGGAATTTCAGTCATTCTTAATTACTCTGATTCCACACAGGATTCCACTCAACTCCCCGTTCTATTAGAATTCTCATTCATCTTAATGGCAGTTGCTGGTCTGGCTGGCACAGGACCCAGTAGATGTGGATACTTGTATACACAAACGCAAGGATACTTTTGATTGGCCATCAGTGGAGAAAAAAGCTTTATACTGGGCCACCAGCAGGGGCCACTGGGGTCATGCTAACCAGCTAAACCTTGAGCCTGTGGCCTATTCTTTTATCATTATATCATAACATGACTGTTCTGGCCTTTTTTGTCAGTCTCAAAAATACAGTACATAAACTCAGTTGTGTCAACAGAGAACAGCAGTAAATGCAATTCTTCAAATTTGTCTGAAGATATGTGTCTGTCAGTAAACATTGATTTGCCAAAGCCATTTATGCGCTAAAATATCACTATTCAAATATAGAAATACTTATAGAAAGTTTCAGCATAATTAACACCCAGACTTGTGTATAAGGGTCAAGCTTGAGCATCTATCAAAAACTCCATTACTCAAAAATGTAATCTCCAGACTAAGACAACTGTCCTCAAATACGTAACTGAAATTCTCAAAACAGCTTATTAAAATAAAACTCTGTTCCAAAAATGAGTGAACTGCCTATTTAGGCCAGACATCAAACATGCACTCCTGACACAGAAGCAGTAACCCTATGTTGCCTTCTAAGATACCTCATTCTAAAGTAGCGTCATGTTGTATGATAAAATCAAACTCTTTAAATCAATCGTGAGTCCAGTCCCTTATGCTTCATGTGAGGAGCATTATTTGTGCTGCCTATGTAGGGAGCTCCAAACCAGCAGACGGCAAGGCCGCTCACTACCTTTTAAAATAGAGCTGTATAGTCCAAAAAAGTTAACAATGCCCTATATGAATGAAATAATCCAAATCTATTATCATGCTACATTATAGGATCACACTACTGAATTATGGTTAAAAAAAACCCTGATGGAATGACTCTGCAACAGGCAAGGAGCATGATGCTAGCAACACCAACATCGTGTTCAGTTCCCATATAACAAACAGACTGATACGATTTAATTTGAATGCACTTTCAGTTACTTTGGATAAAACAGGGTTTCTGCAGGATTTTATGAAGACATTTTAAGACAATGTAAAGAAAATTTATGAAATGGAGTGAAGGGAACACAAAACATCAATATGTTCTCTGAATGTGAATGTCTAGAGCAGACAATGGGTTGTATTAGCAAGTTTGAAACTTCCAACAAAACTCTTTTACTTTTTACTACATTTGACTAAAAATAGCTTATGGCTTAAATACCTCTGCTCCCAACCAAGAGTATGGTAATTACTTTCATTGTAGCTTCTGATCACACTGCAAAAAAGAGATGTTCTTCCTCAGTTATTTTGTCTTGTTTTGTGCTGCAAGCTTCTAAAAAATTTTTAAATCAAGAAGCAAATTGCCATGTTTCTGAGAAATGTATCCAAATGGAGTTTATGAATAAAATAAGAACAAAAATCTGTCAAAGGGCTCAAAATGAGACCCCATTTCAGACCCCACTGACAAATATTTGTTCTTGTTTTAAGCATAAACTCACTTAATTTTGTGCTGTTTAGTTCAGTTTCAGACTTCATATATTAATTTTGCATCTCAAGTAAATGTATCTTGATTAAAGATGTTCAGATATTTGATCCGCCAAAATATCCAAGACAATAATTATGAGAAAAATATATATTTTTTTGCAGTGCATGCAACATTGAATGCATTTATAAGCTTTCTGCACCTATTTAGGGCCTTTTAAGACCTTAATTTGTGTAAAAGTGAATTAAGATTAAAATCCGCAGAAACCCTGTAAGAGCATCTGCCAAATGCATAAATGTATAATTTTTTGTGCAATAGTTCATCGTTTGAATCAAGTTTTCAGAATTTCCGAAATAATATATCAAACAAAATGTTCCAGTACTCTTAACTCTATGTGCAAGTGTGTTTGGACACGTGTAGCTATTGGAAGAATCAGGAATAAATCTATAAGTACAGTAAATTCACTTTCCACTAAAACTTAATTAAATGCAATTAAATTATTAAAATATTCACATTTAAGATTAAAGGGGGGTATATTATCTATAAAGTGCCATTGGTGCTATTTCAGCGATTTTACGGCTTTGGTCAGGTTGCTGTAAAACTCCACCATACTAGTGGGGAAAAATGAATCGACAACCGAACGAGGAAGCAAACCTCCAAGATCAGTCTGGAAAAAGCTGAACAGCTGCATTTTGCCTGGTTCCCTACAGAGAGAGGAAAAAAGTAAACATTTTATGCTCTTGATGAACCAATGCATGAAGAAAAAAAGACATCTGAAATGTACTTTTTTGCCAACAATGCATGAAGAAAAAAAGACAGCTGAAATGTATTTTTTTTGCCACGAATGCATGAAGAAAACAAGACATATGAAATGTAATTTTTTGCCACCATCTGCTGTCTGATGTTTGAATTACATCAACCAAAGACATGAGAAACTCACCCAGGAACAGGAACACAAAAACAGCCACAAGGATGGTTGAAGCCTCTGACGTAGCCAGGTTGAGGAGGACAGTTTGGATGGCTTACATTGGTAGCTATAAATCGATAACAATATCAATAACAGCATTATTAAGATAGTGGTCTAATGTTTATTTATAATGACCCTGTGATTCTATTCAGTGTCAGATTCAGATCCAGCTAAAGGAGAAAGGCCACGCGTACCATTTGATGAAACTGTGCCATCCTCATAGCGTTTAACGGAAATGACAACTCGAGGGCGAGTTGACAGAATTGTTCGGTAAACTATCCCTTTTAACTTTCTTCCATGATTCATCAAATGATTAACTCATTGAGTTAATTTATTAAGTATATAACATACTATATTTAATATTAATTTTAAATATTTCAGATGATTTCTTTAAATTTCATTCAGTCACTTGTTTAATTCAATTCAGTAAATTCTAATTCAAACTCCGCATCCTGTTCTCTACCTCAATTCAAACTCGGGAACTAAAATAAAATTGGAATTTCAGTCATTCTTAATTACTCTGATTCCACACAGGATTCCACTCAACTCCCCGTTCTATTAGAATTCTCATTCATCTTAATGGCAGTTGCTGGTCTGGCTGGCACAGGACCCAGTAGATGTGGATACTTGTATACACAAACGCAAGGATACTTTTGATTGGCCATCAGTGGAGAAAAAAGCTTTATACTGGGCCACCAGCAGGGGCCACTGGGGTCATGCTAACCAGCTAAACCTTGAGCCTGTGGCCTATTCTTTTATCATTATATCATAACATGACTGTTCTGGCCTTTTTTGTCAGTCTCAAAAATACAGTACATAAACTCAGTTGTGTCAACAGAGAACAGCAGTAAATGCAATTCTTCAAATTTGTCTGAAGATATGTGTCTGTCAGTAAACATTGATTTGCCAAAGCCATTTATGCGCTAAAATATCACTATTCAAATATAGAAATACTTATAGAAAGTTTCAGCATAATTAACACCCAGACTTGTGTATAAGGGTCAAGCTTGAGCATCTATCAAAAACTCCATTACTCAAAAATGTAATCTCCAGACTAAGACAACTGTCCTCAAATACGTAACTGAAATTCTCAAAACAGCTTATTAAAATAAAACTCTGTTCCAAAAATGAGTGAACTGCCTATTTAGGCCAGACATCAAACATGCACTCCTGACACAGAAGCAGTAACCCTATGTTGCCTTCTAAGATACCTCATTCTAAAGTAGCGTCATGTTGTATGATAAAATCAAACTCTTTAAATCAATCGTGAGTCCAGTCCCTTATGCTTCATGTGAGGAGCATTATTTGTGCTGCCTATGTAGGGAGCTCCAAACCAGCAGACGGCAAGGCCGCTCACTACCTTTTAAAATAGAGCTGTATAGTCCAAAAAAGTTAACAATGCCCTATATGAATGAAATAATCCAAATCTATTATCATGCTACATTATAGGATCACACTACTGAATTATGGTTAAAAAAAACCCTGATGGAATGACTCTGCAACAGGCAAGGAGCATGATGCTAGCAACACCAACATCGTGTTCAGTTCCCATATAACAAACAGACTGATACGATTTAATTTGAATGCACTTTCAGTTACTTTGGATAAAACAGGGTTTCTGCAGGATTTTATGAAGACATTTTAAGACAATGTAAAGAAAATTTATGAAATGGAGTGAAGGGAACACAAAACATCAATATGTTCTCTGAATGTGAATGTCTAGAGCAGACAATGGGTTGTATTAGCAAGTTTGAAACTTCCAACAAAACTCTTTTACTTTTTACTACATTTGACTAAAAATAGCTTATGGCTTAAATACCTCTGCTCCCAACCAAGAGTATGGTAATTACTTTCATTGTAGCTTCTGATCACACTGCAAAAAAGAGATGTTCTTCCTCAGTTATTTTGTCTTGTTTTGTGCTGCAAGCTTCTAAAAAATTTTTAAATCAAGAAGCAAATTGCCATGTTTCTGAGAAATGTATCCAAATGGAGTTTATGAATAAAATAAGAACAAAAATCTGTCAAAGGGCTCAAAATGAGACCCCATTTCAGACCCCACTGACAAATATTTGTTCTTGTTTTAAGCATAAACTCACTTAATTTTGTGCTGTTTAGTTCAGTTTCAGACTTCATATATTAATTTTGCATCTCAAGTAAATGTATCTTGATTAAAGATGTTCAGATATTTGATCCGCCAAAATATCCAAGACAATAATTATGAGAAAAATATATTTTTTTTGCAGTGCATGCAACATTGAATGCATTTATAAGCTTTCTGCACCTATTTAGGGCCTTTTAAGACCTTAATTTGTGTAAAAGTGAATTAAGATTAAAATCCGCAGAAACCCTGTAAGAGCATCTGCCAAATGCATAAATGTATAATTTTTTGTGCAATAGTTCATCGTTTGAATCAAGTTTTCAGAATTTCCGAAATAATATATCAAACAAAATGTTCCAGTACTCTTAACTCTATGTGCAAGTGTGTTTGGACACGTGTAGCTATTGGAAGAATCAGGAATAAATCTATAAGTACAGTAAATTCACTTTCCACTAAAACTTAATTAAATGCAATTAAATTATTAAAATATTCACATTTAAGATTAAAGGGGGGTATATTATCTATAAAGTGCCATTGGTGCTATTTCAGCGATTTTACGGCTTTGGTCAGGTTGCTGTAAAACTCCACCATACTAGTGGGGAAAAATGAATCGACAACCGAACGAGGAAGCAAACCTCCAAGATCAGTCTGGAAAAAGCTGAACAGCTGCATTTTGCCTGGTTCCCTACAGAGAGAGGAAAAAAGTAAACATTTTATGCTCTTGATGAACCAATGCATGAAGAAAACAAAACATATGAAATGTAATTTTTTTGCCCCTATCTGCTGTCTGATGTTTGAATTACATCAACCAAAGACATGAGAAACTCACCCAGGAACAGGAACACAAAAACAGCCACAAGGATGGTTGAAGCCTCTGACGTAGCCAGGTTGAGGAGGAGAGTTTGGATGGCTTACATTGGTAGCTATAAATCGATAACAATATCAATAACAGCATTATTAAGATAGTGGTCTAATGTTTATTTATAATGACCCTGTGATTCTATTCAGTGTCAGATTCAGATCCAGCTAAAGGAGAAAGGCCACGCGTACCATTTGATGAAACTGTGCCATCCTCATAGCGTTTAACGGAAATGACATCAACAAAATCTCGAGGTGATATAATACCCATAGCAGCCGAAGGCGTGACCGTTCGACAGATCGAAACATCCTATGAAACGAAAAAGGAAAGATATAGAAATGTATAAATCTACTGTTGCATGATTGCTGCTTTATGTACTAAATCATTGCAATGCCATGCGCATCATGAACATCTCAGTTGAAATAAAAAATAAGATTTATTAATAGTGAAGCGAAGGGAAACGGCAAAAATAATTACTGTTTTCAAACAGGTATCCCAGATACTTCTCTAGTCTGACATTGATGGGACAAACGCCCTCAAACTCGCGCTATTGGTTGAGCGAATGTTGCTTTTTGGGCTGGTTTGTAAACTCAACAATCAGATCTATGTGCCGTTTAAAAGGCCACTTCCTTAGTCAGTAGCTCGTCAGAAGAATGTTGCATTCTGGGAATTTGAGTTTTCTGGGTCGATCCTGTTTTACGGTACATTGGCTCGTCCACATTGTCGTATGTATTATTAAATAAACACAGACTCATTATTTAAATATGAATTCGTTTCATCAAAACATTTTATTAATATCACATTTAGATGAACATGGGGACATTTTAAATAATTAAGCTACTTTTGTTTGCGCAGATGTTTAGATTTTTATCTATAATAAATAGAATTCAGTAGTATTGGTTTTGATTAGTTTCGCTGTGTTGAGGTATATTATCTCAAAACATTATATCCTTTGATGAAGAAAATCTCATCTAAACTCATTTTTTAAATGCCATGGATTTAAAAAAGCACTAAAAATTGCGTGACTGTCAATACCTCACAGTGCGATCAATAATTAAGGTTTTGTGCCTGAGCTTGACAAGAACATTTTTGCCCTGTCCTTTATAAAAATAGGCTACTTCCTTATAGCTTACTTGCAACACACGCATATTCATAACCCTCCTGGACTGCAGAGTGGTTTTTTAAAATAAACACAAATACCTGTTTAATGCCAAAGCTGTTACCACATTCAGAAATGTAATAATGTTGGGACTGGGCATTAACCTGTTTCAACCTGTTAATCTGAATATGCACTGTATATTCAAAGTGTTGAGTTAATCATAAGTGTTTAGCGGGAACTCTTACATAACCTTTTCCCTGTTGCCCATGATCGTTTGAATCAATACCACAACCCCCACACACACTGAGGGGGAAAAGAGTTTGATGTGCGTTTTTCACTGGTTGATTCTTTAATTTTTATTTTATTTTCGTACACACCCAATCTTGAATTCGTGTTTTCAGCCTTGACTCAGACAATGCATATTACTAATCAAAAATTAAGTTTTGATATATTTAAGGTAGGAAATTTACAAAATAACTTCATAGAACATGATCTTTACTTAATATCCTAATGATTTTTGGCATAAAAGAAAAATTGATAATTTTGACCCATACTATGTATCATTGGCTATTGCTACAATTACACCCGTGCTACTTAAGACTGGTTTTGTGCTCCAGGTCACCCTACCTTCTATAAACTCAAGCAACAGACATTTACCTTTATGATGCAGCTTGTAATTAATGTTAAAGGGGTCATATGATGCAATTTAAAGTTTTCCTTTCTCTTTGGAGTGTTACAAGCTGTTCGTGCATAGATAAGATCAAAGACTAAAGTCTCAAACCTAAAGAGATATTTTTTATAAAAGTTAAGATACGTCCACGCCCTCCTAAAACACCTCATTTAAACACGCCCCCACATGTCTACGTCACTGTGTGGGAATATTTGCATAACACCGCTCAAATGTTCACGCAAAGAAAGAAGGCGTAACTTTGATTCTCGCTGTAGTACTGTTGCTGCCGCCGCCATGTCGTGGAGACGCTGTGTGTTTCTTTGTGAAAGCGAAACTACTTTGTTTGGCCTTCCAAATGAGGACACAACTAGAAATCAGTGGTTAAGTTGTATTTACAACACTGTTCTAGAACAGTTCAAACCAAATATACAGATGTGTGCAGCGCATTTTATGGAGGACTGTTTCTTGAACCTGGGAGAGTAGACCACAATGCTATGGCGTTATTTTAATGACAAATGTCGAGAGGGCATTATTGTAGCGCGAAAGCACATTAATATAATGCGCTCGCACGAATCTCCCCGCTCGCACGCGGATTTCTTTTGCTCTCTCACAAAACCTGACGCGCGCGCTCAGATACACGCTGCTCTTGCCCAGAGAGTGTGCGCGCACTTAAAACGTGTCTCTCCTCTCACTCAAACTGTCCTGTGCACTCGCAAATCTCTCTGTGCTCATGCACTAGATATTAATTATTTTTGCACCTGAATTAAACGTTGTCAAAAGTTATCATTGTGCACTTTTAAAAAGTATCTCAAAGCAGATTTGTTTACTAAAGGCCTTTCCTTGTTTTTTTTTTATTATTGTTGTATTTTTGTTTTAACAAACTGGTTATTGCACTTTGTTTGACTACTTTATCTCTTTTATGTTTGTATTTGTATTTTCTTTTCTGTGAATGCACATATGCATCTCTCTGTAAAATACTTTGTAAATACTTTTAAAAGGCGCTATATAAATAAAGCTTTAAACAATCAGACCTCCACAACTGACTGATGAAAATACTATGTGAAATCTAATTGGCTGAGAGGGCACTGAACCTGGAATTATTTTGACAATCAAAGATAGATCTTTAATTTATTTCCAGTTTAATAATATTTAGCAATGTTAATGAAATTAGATAAATCGCTCACAGTAGTTTGACCAAACTGTTATACTAGGTTATATACAAATAATCCAAGCACCCGATTCATTTCTAATATTTGATTATTTTGACTTAGTAGTATTAAATTATAAAGAAATTACAGATCCATCTTTGAAATCTGATAGGTTGATAACATTTGACAACATTTAAATCAGGTGCGAAAATAATTAATACCTAGCCATGAGCATAGAGAGATTTGCGAGTGCACAGGACAGTTTGAGTGAGAGGAGAGACCACAGACTGTATAAAAACAGGGACAGACACGTTTTAAGTGCACGCACACTCTCTTGGCGAGAGCAGCGTTTATCGGAGCACGCGTCAGGTTTTGTGCGAAGAGCAAAGGAAAATCGCGTCCGAGCGGGGAGATTCGCGCTCGCACATTACATTAATGTGCTTTCGCGCTACAATAATGCGCTCTCGACATTTGTCATTAAAATAACGCCATACAATGCTGGCTGTTCTAATTCACAGCCTGCATTCATATTTAAAGTTTTCATATTTAAAGAATTTGACCCGATCCACTTGAAACAGGGACGCTGCTGAAGCCCCATCCGTCCCGAAGGAGTTTTCGGAAGCAAATACACATATAGCATCCGTTTAGGTGTATATGGAGAAACTGGAGGTGATTATAACCCTCTTGGAAAGGCAGAATCTGCCGGGGAACACTAAGGCTATACCGTGGATTATACACATACGAAAACTGCTTAGGTCTCAGAATGGAACCCGGCCTTCCACCATTCCCGCGGATTTCTCGTGAAGGCCCAGCGCCGGACGTTCCGCCGCATCCGCTGCCAAGGGTGATGGAGGATCTCAACAGGGTCTACTGTACGGACACTCTGGAGCAGTTTTTAGCAAGCCAACACTAACCGGGGCCTCTCGGTGCCACTACCCGTTTGAGGTGAGAACACAGGAGGATACCGGCTCCACACAGAGGCTATAGAATCTAGCGAACGTGTTGGGGGTTGCCCAGGCCGCAGCTCTACAAATATCTGTCAGTGAGGCACCACGAGCCAGCGCCCAGGAGGATGCAACAATTCTAGTTGAGTGAGCTCGCAGCCTGAACGGGCAGGGCACACCCTGAGCCTGATAAGCCAGGGTGATGGCATCCACACTCCAGTGGGCCATCCTCTGCTTAGAGACAGCATTCCCCTTCTGCCGGCATCCATAACAGACGAAGAGCTGGTCTGAGGTCCTGAAGCTTTGTGTCTGGTCTACGTAGCATCTTAATTCTCAGACGGGACAGAGCAAAGCTTCCAGAGCTAGGTCTGCCTTGATGGAGGCCAGTGCAAGCAGGAGCAGAGTTTTCAATGAAAGAAACTTTAGCTCAACTGAATGCAAAGGCTCGAATGGGCCCCGCTGTAGTGATTTTAGCACTAGAGACAGGTCCCAAGAGGGTATAGAGGGGGGCCGGGTAGGATTCAACCTCCTGGCCCCTCTAAGGAATCTGATGACAAGGTCATGCTTACCTATGGACTTCCCATTCACCGGGTCATGGTACACAGCAATAGCAGCAACCTGGACTTTGAGGGTGGAGTGAGACAGCCTTCGCTCCAGCCCTTGCTGCAGAAAGGAAAGCACGACCGCAATCGGGCATCTCCGGGGGTCTTCTCGGCGAGAAGAACACCACTTGACGAACAGGTTCCACTTCAAGGCATAAGCGTGTCTCGTAGATGGTGCTCTCGCCGAAGTGATGATGTTCACTACCTCCTGGGGTAGGTCACCTAGAACCTCCATGTCTAGGGACCAGACATGGAGTTTCCAAAGGTCTGGACGCGGGTGCCAAATGGTGCCCCATCTCAGAGTCAGTAGATCCCTCCTCAGAGGAATCGGCCTAGGAGGGGCTGTTGCAAGGAGCACTAGTTCAGGGAACCAGGTCCGAGTGGGCCAATACGGCGCCACTAG